TGACTGTACCCCAGCAAGCTGACAAAACTGTCACTTGGTTAATGTGTTCAAACTCTGCCTTTGCTTTAAAACCTTCTGTTTAGAGCCTCAAACTATTGGCTCCAGAGCACCTCCACTGTCTGAATTAGCACCCATTTCTTCAGTGATGTCTCTGAGGAACAGGCATGGTTTTAGCCCAGAACTGATSTCCCTGTGGCATTGCAGGGAAAAGGCTGGGTACTTTTTAAGTCTCCTCTCTTGCACAAAGGAGAGAGGTCTGGGCAGAGAGGCCCAGCAGCTGCCCACAAAGGCTGTGCTGTGCCCATTCCAGGCGGTAGCAATGATGTGCAGAGCAGGGACTGTGGATCCTGCACCCCTGTGACACCAAGGGCAGTTTGGGAGTGAAGCCAGGCTGCTGCTGTAGCCACTGACAGTTTGGGGAGCAGTGAGGGGCAGAGGAAAGAGTTTTGCCACCCCTGGGTGGTGAGAAGGGTTCCCCTGTCTGTATCACTGACTGCTGGGCAGGAGGGAGCAATGGGGGTGGTCCCAGTGCCAGGGAGGTCTTTGCCAATCTGGAAGATGCAGCTGACGTGATCCTCTGTTTTGTTTTTGCCCTCTTTTTCTCCCCTCCTCTTCCCAGCTGTTTGCCATGATCTTTGCTATGTGTCTCTTTCGAGGGATCCAGTAAGAAGCGACCCATGAACCATCATGTTCCCCACACACTCAGAAGAAGGAAAATCTGAAGAAACAAAACCTGAAAACACCCAAAAGACTTTATTTTTTTTTAACAAAATGGGACAGGGAGAAAAAAAAATTAAAAAGAAAAAAAGAAGGTTGTAATATATGAATGACCAAAAGGATTGTACTTCAGGGGCTGGAACTTTGAGGTGATGTGCACTACACTGTACACCRGACCCTTGCCCAGAGCCACCCGCAGCAGCCGTGGAGCAGGAGCCCAGCACAGCCGATTGCACTAGAGATGGATGGAGCTGGTGGGGCTGGGGGAGGAYGAGCACAGCTGCCTCTCACACAGGCTGAGCCTGCCATTCACCACTTTACCATGCTTTAGACAACAAAGGACTCAAGAACAGACACGCAGGGGCCGGATAAGGCAACAGATTGGCCTTGACTGTCCAGGTGGATTTGAAACAAGYAGTGGTGGCTTGTCTAAGCAGGTGTAGTCAACGTTTGTGTCATTCCGGCTTTAATTCCCAGCCACAGGATGAAAACACACATTCTTCAGTGGAAGCTTTGCCCCTGCCACATCAAACTTGTCAGAGAAGTCAAGCACTTCAGCGAGGCTGGCTTTTCCCCTGAACAACAAGCAGGGGCAGTGTGATCTAACTTAGAAATGGGACTCAGCTAAGGCTGGCTGAGGGTCAAGAGTTTGGTGCCTACCTTTCTGTTTTTACTAAGATTTATTGTTCATTGTTGTGAAAGAGACCAAATGGTTCCCTGCTGTGTTTCCCATCTCCTGGGAAAAATAACAGTGCTGGTCAAGCATCATTGATACTCCTGCCTTCCTGAGAACGGGAGGATATAATGTTCAAATCCTGTCAGCTTTTGCCTTTCCTCTGATACTTGCAAAAAAAAAAAAATGGTTTGTGGTGCTCTGTTAACATAAATATTTGCAGTGGTTCCTGCATSCTTTTCCAGTCCTAAGGGGAGGTCCACACATGGTGCTGGATTGAAGAGGCTGAAGTTTGTCAACCACTCCCATGCTCTTTGCGTGGACCAGTCTGGTGGAATCATTTCTGGTCAGAGAATTTCCCCTGAGATTCTCCCGTGGGCTCATGATAAAAGTAATCATCACATCAGAATTGTTTTAGTTGGTAGTATTTCTTCCCTTGAGATAGTTTGGTATTTAACTAACATGTCATCTATTCAATCACTTGGAAGTAAACTTGAGAAAGATGCCTGGGACTGGATCTTGGTCAGAGATTAAGCTGGAGCTGCTGAGGCCCCAGGCAGGCCCCAAGAGCACCCAGTGTGCAGCCAACCTGCTCCAGCTGCTGCTCCAGTGGTCATGGATATTGACTCAGACAGGTAACTGRTTTCTCTCATCTGGAATCATCAATCCCTGTTGCCTTAACTGTTCATCTGGTAACTTATTCCCTCACCCCAAACTCATTTTACCTGGGGAATGACAGAAGGGGCTGCRATTTCTTGTTTAGCTTAGGTCTTTTTACAGATTTTATAGGCTCAGATTATAGGAGCACTTTTATATAGGCTCAAGTCAGCTCCTCTGAAAGCTGTAAACTCTGGCAAGGAAGGAACAGAGCATTAAACTCTGTGCCCAGGCTTTGCAGCAGCAGTATGTTCATCCTCTGGCTGTTCCCTTAGACCCCTGGGGCCGTCCCTGAGTTCTCCCAGCAGCACTGCACAGGCTACAGGGAAGGGAGGAAAGCAGCAGAAAGCCTGGGCCATAATAAACAAAGATCACRGGTAAATATCTAGGCTGGGGTATCATGATACTGAGGAACAGGAAGAAGGCATTAGGAGCTTTTCCAAGCTTCATTTGAGAACAATTTATTCATTGGTAGGAGAGGGCTGGGCAGGTAAAGCTACAGCCCCCCCATGCTGCAGTCAGCATATTCCAGCAACCAAATATGTGGCCAGAGCTGCTGAGCAGCATCAGATGTTGCATTAAACCTTGTGGAAAGCTGTTCTGAACTATTTCCCTCCGGACCTTCTTGCAATGAGGCATTTTAGCATTAAACTCTGGCCTGCTGTTTAATAAAGGAAAACAGTTTTGTTATCYAAAACCCAGCAGTATTTGTACTAGACAGCAGGTGCTGCACTTAAGATAAGAAAAATCTGTTCAATCTACCAGTCTTGGAGGGAATGGGCAAACTTATCTGCTCTCCTTCTGCCTCAGGAGCTGGTGTCAGTGACTGTTCTGGGAAAGAAATTCCCAGGGAAGGAACAAAACTGTCAGCAGAGTTGGTAATTTGGCTGGAGGTGATCTAGAGAAGCAGAACTGCCTCCCCCAGTCTCCAGTTTCTTCCTTTCCCCTCAGTTTATTATGCAGCATTCTCAGGTCAGAGCCTGGAAGGCAAATATCCTCATTTGTGCATGGTGGGTGGCTGAAGGGGAAAAAAAGCCTTAAARCCTTCTTCTGCCACCAGTGGCATGGGGGAAAAAAACCTGTCAGAGCTGGGGGAACTGGACCAAAGCAGCCAGAGCACAAAGTACTAAATATACATGCCTGAAGTATGATCTCTGCTGCCTTGTTTCTCTTTGGCTTTCCTAATTCTGTAGTCATYGCTTTGTCTGTTTTTAGCTTTCTTGCTTTCCCTCTCTCCCTAATGGCMGTCCCTGTATCTTCAAAAGGATCTCTTCTTCATCTGTTATTCTGGGCTGTGCACAGCTGTTTTTCCCCTTCYACCTTTTCTGACCCCCCACTGCTCTTTGCTGTGTGAAGATTTCAAATCCTCTCTGCAGGCTGGCTCACGTGCCACTGGAAATACAGCTCAAAAGKCCAGGCAGCAATTCCAAACAAGAACTGGAGATAGCTGTAAAGATATGTGCAAGTCTGAGAGGATCTGTGGCAGTTGCTGACATGCAGAAGGAATTTTCCTTGGGGGAATTTAATGAACAAACAAGCCCAGAAAGCAGACTCCCACTGTATGGCAAAGCATGTAAATTTGTTGGGTTTGTCCCTTGGTTTTGTGGCTGCCCCCTCTGTTGTACAGTAGTTTTCAGAAGTAGGCAGGAGAAGCAATTGTATTTTTGTATTTGTATTTAACAGCTCTGGTGAGTATTTTGGGGTCAGGGGCTCARGCTGGAGTCACTGCTGGCTGGAGAGCTCTGGGCAGGCAGAGAGCAGAGGRAGCTGCCCTGCTGCCACCTCCTTTGCTGTAGCACTGTGACCACAGCCCAAGCACCTTGGAGGAAGTAGAAGAGAGCAGCCTGGGCAAGCCCCCAGCCCCTCTCAGCATCCCTGCCTCCTGGTTGTTATTTAATGCTCCAATGACTGTCACAAATGCCTGGGAAAAGGGCTGCGTGTGAAATAATGTTTGAAATCTATTTTAAAAAAATGTAAATGTTCTTTTTATTAGATAGTGGAGCTAATTTATCCTGTATTCCCTACTGTAATGCTTTTTTATATTGAAAGGAATTTTTTTTTTTGGTAATATAAACCAGAACACAAGCCTGAAGCACTCTTCGCACGGTTTTTGTGTGCATTTCTTAAAAAAACCCCAAAAAATAAAAGAAAGATATTGTGACAGTGAAGTGAAACAGCTTTAATTTTCACTATTTGCTTGGTGTTAAGTACAGTCACTTTCTTACCAGAGGAGAAATAAAGTCAGGTACAGCAGCTAAAATGAGGTATAAATTGAAGTGTCCCATTCTCCCCTGCACCACCACCCCCCACCCACACCCTCCCAAGTAAAAACCCTTGACCAGAAAAGAGGCCAGCTTAGGACAGACAGAGCCTCTCCTGTGTCACCAGCTCCAGTTTGCCAAATACCTGTTAGGCCCAAATAAGATGATGCAGGGAATCATGTGAATGATGGGTTTTCTTTGCCCTCCAAAGTGAGGGCTCTGTGAATGCAAGGGTTTGGGTTCATCCCTGGCAGAGAAAGGGGGTCAGCTTTAAGTCCTGGGCTCTGCCTGCCTGGAGCACAACCCTCTGGGGAACAGACCTGCAGTCCTGCACAGCACTGTACAAAGGAAGTTCATAGCAGTCTCCCTTGGGAGATGACATCAGTCCCCCTAACCTAACAGGTAAGGAAACTGAGGCCTGTGGACATGGAGTTTTTTTGTCAGCGGATCATCAGCAGAGCCTAAAGTGACACCTCAGGCTTTTGATCCCAAATCATGTTCTCAACTGCCACCYGCAGCTGTGATGCCAGCACTTCTGTCCTTGAGGACACAGTTCTGTACAAAGGCTTTGGCATCCTCCCCGCTTTCTCCCCATGCTCAACAGAGTGAGRACAACTAGGTGCAGCTGATTTCTGGCTGTTCTGCCGATGCTCTGCCTGGGCTCCATCCTCAAGCCACCCCAAGAAACTCACCTGCTACACACTCATCACCTCCAGTGGGCCTGGCAATGTTTCTCCTCCAGCAAGCACCTTGCTGCAGAAGAGACATGGCAGGAACCACAGCTTCATTGTAGARGAGGTGTAGAGTTCCATATTTTCTACACGGTCCACTTATAGAAAGATGGAGCAAGAAGCTTCAAAATAAAACTACATCYCTCTGCTTTGAGGACTACATACCACATAGCATGGAATCTTTTAAGCGGCCACTTCCCCAGGTTTTGTTCTGTTGGAGCAGAAAAAGCCACTGACTGCCAAACCTAGAAGTGGCTGRCTGTTTCAAGTTTTGCAGATGCAGCTGGTAATCAGGGGACCAGAAGAATCTGATCTCACCTTATTTAAAAATCTGGAAAGCTGCAACTCCTTCCCCCACCTTCGCACCTGATCTAACCATCAAGGAGTCTTTGGAGTACTGCTCTCACATAGTGCAGTAACTCATTTCTCTCACCTACAGGATGACATTCTAAGGTATGCTAATCAGACCCAAGTAATTATTAAGTTCATAGGAACTGTGGCCAACACAGATGGGAGGCAGCATTAAGACCCTCCATTTCCTTCTTCTGTAAGATTGCTTTTGCTGTGGTAGGCTTTACTTGTCTGTCCCAGAAACAGGATTTCCCACCCCCCCAAAAACCAACCATCAATCTGTGTATACATTCATGTGACGCCCCAAAACACAAAAAATCAAGCTTCACGTACCTATACCCACAACTACAGCCAAAGTGCCACACTGAGGCCATTGCAGCTGCCCATGCAGGAGATGCACAGGGGGAGAGCAACAGCCACAGCATGCCATGCTCCAGCTCCTGCATGCTGCACCACTTGGTCTAATTTCTGATATTCTCCAGCCTGCATTTGCTCATTACCTGCCTCACAAGGAAAGGTTTCCTTCCCTCTTAGAGCCAAATTTTTCCACCTGAACAGGAACACTCCTCTTAATTAAACGTTTTAGTTATTCAGTATCATTTTTGGACATGCTGAAAGCAGCTTGACAAGYGTGTATTGTCGTGAGGTTCCAGAATTTAGCCTGCTGTTGGATGTTGCCCCTCCATTTGATTTACTTATTAGGCAAAAAACTAAGTTACAGTTGTGATGTTTCCTGATTCAACAATTTCCAATATTCTTATGTGATAGACATTTTGCATGGCCAGTAAGTACAATGCACACAGTGTCCCAAGCTTATGCAGCTGCTTCTAAATGCCAAAAGCACTAACACAACATACAATAACTACCCACTACCTTCTTCTAACTCTACAAAGATATTAAATAGCAATAGCTGTAGATCCCAGTCTTACCAGTGGCTTGAGGACTGTTGTTCACACAAGCAGTTCTGTTTGTGTAGGAATCTTTCTACTGGGATTTTGGAACGTCAGCTATATTCCAGGGCATGCTTTGATCCAGTCAACAGTAGTGCATGAGTAAGAGAAGTCTATATCCTGTACACAGACCTTCTGGCTTTAGTCCCATGGAGAATAAAAAATGCTGCCTTAAGCTGTGGACAGGAATAATCCACCAGGAAAGCACTAGGAAGTAGGGCAGTCAACGCCATGAAGCCCAGGAGGTAYTGGAGAAACTGGCCAGTGACTACTAAAGCACACCGAGTCTGTCCTTGCCTTCACATGCTCCACTCCTTGCTGTTCCTCACCCCAGTTAAATATTAAATATCCTAATGCTACAAACTTTGGTCTCCTCTTCTCAAGGTCAGAAGAGATGTGATACCTGCAGGTATTAGCAGAGTTGGAACACCATCTCCCACAGCCAGGGCCCATCTCTAGAGGCTGCTCACTGATCAAGCATGTGTACAGATGCCCTCACTGCTACAGTCGTGCATTCCTGGTTGCACCAACCACGGCAGCACTCCAGCCCCCACTCACTAAAGCATCAGGTGCTACTGCACACCCACCAGTGCCACCACCATCAGTAAAGCTGCTGCTGTAGGAAGTGCTCTGGGGTGAAGGGGACAGGACCCCAGCCTAAAAACTTCATGGAACACCCCAAACAAGGGGATGTCTTTGTGCTCAATGGGCTATTTCCAATAGCTTCCTTCACTTCTCTCATCTTGTAAATCGAGTTGCTCCACTGATCCCAGTGCTATCCCTGCAGAGGGAACAAGCTAGGGTTCTCTCTCTTCTTTTGCTGTATCTCCTGCCAAGCATCAGGTGCAAAACTAGGAACTATACAAAAATGCACCGCTGGCAGCAAGGAAAGAAGAGCAGTTTGCAAAGCACTGAACTTGATCCCATCCAGCTCCCAGCTACCTAGACAGTCAGTACTTGCTAAAAGGGGAACGGGCTGTAAATCAGGGAGGTGCAAGGTTTACCAAGTAGAATAGCCGAGTCCTTTGTCCCCTGTCTCCTCAGGGATTTGSTTTAAATATGCTGGCCTTATTTTGTGCTTTGCTCCAGCGGGTTCAGAGCCTGTGATCCCTTCGGCCAGCTCCACCCAGAAATCTGGCTTTTTTTCCCTGAGCCTGCCAGGCCCATACACTTCCCTGAGCCTTCCTCCCGCTGCTCCTCACCTCCTGCAGAAGGGCTGGGGGGTCCTCTCAATGTTGCTCCCCCCATTTCACCTGGCAATGCCACCAGCACTGGGTTACACACTGATTCATGCCGGTAAAGAAGGAAACTACTTTAGAACCAAAAGGGACTAACAAAAAAAAAAAAGAAAAAAGAAAAAAAATTATAATTCATAATTACCGACACAAACTCCCCCCTCCCACCTTTCCCATAACAAAAAGCCCAGGAATTAGACTTTCTTGGGACGACGTCCAACTTGGTAATAATAATAAATGCTGATGAGGATGAAGAGGGCTCGGCTGACCAGGAGGAGCATGGCACCCGTGGCTATCCGGCTACTTTCAACCAGCGTGACAGTGGTAACTGGAGGAGAAGGAGGGAGACAAGACAGAGAGAGGTTGGTGATGCAAAACCAAAAGGAAACAAACAGCACAAAGCTGTTTTCTGCTGCCCTCTAATGCAGGGCTTCGGCAGGAACTGCTGAGCCTTGCGAGTGCTCATTCACATGCACAGTGAACCCATGGCAGAGGCTCTTCACTAGCTTCTTTTCACAGCCTTGAAGCTTGCCATTGACACCAGAGCTCTCCCTTACAGAAACCTGCTTTAAGGCAGCCCCACATTCAGGCAGCCCTAAACAGTCACTCAAGCAGATGTGAGTTTCCATCATGCACAGGCGTTAAATGTGTGAGCTGCATCTTCCCAAGTTTGCTTTGTGGCTTGAACAGTGCTGATAAACATTTTTCAACTTTTGGAGCATCTACAAAATATGCACAGTCCACAAACATTGCTTCTGTAGAGCACCTCTCTTTTTCAGCCACCACCACATAGCTCATTTCTACATCAGCTACACACTGAGCCACCAAAACACACAAGAACCCCCTTCACTGTCAAATATAGATAAGCTCCCTAGAAACAAGCTTAATTGTTATGCTCTGTTTTGGAAACACTGAGCATCCCCTTTTTAGTGTAGGTTGCTACAATCTTTTCTTGTTAGACCCTGCATCTAGGCAGCCTGCTCCTACAATGACCTGTGGAGACTACAAAGCCCAGGACATTTTCAGGGAGAAAAATGAATTGTCAGAGGGTGATGTTTAACCCTTCAGGGAGCAGCCCAGGGCAGAGGCTATCCATGGGGGAGAACAAAGGCGAGCAGCTGGCTGGGAAGATGCCCCACCACTGCTCACACCGCTGCCCTGCCCACCCTGGATTCCCAATCCCCGCTCCCCGCCCGGCGGGCGTGCAACCCTCGCACCCTCCTCCTCCTCGTCGCGGCCAGCCCGCGGGCACTCACCCAGGAACTGCACGGCGAAATAGCAGGCCTCGGCCAGCAGGCTCCAGCGGATGATGGCCTTCTCGGCGGTGTACAGGGCGTTCCACATGATGAGCGCGATGCCTGCGGGGACAGGGGGGAGCTGCCCGAGGGCCGGCACAGCGCCAGGCCGCGCTTCCCGCCCTCCCCGCGCGGTGCCGCTGCAGGCCGCGCCTCGGACCCGCTTCCTTCCCACACCATTCTCACAGCTCCCTCTCCTCCTTGTCCTTTGCCGGCTCCTGCCAGCTCCCTGTCCTCCTTGTCCTTTGCCCCCTGCTGCTGGGGGACGCCCCTGCCTGCCCCATGTCTCCTCACAGCCGCAGCCCAGCGCCCCTCACCGGGCCCCGCTGCAGTTTCCCTTTGCTGGGGTAYAGGGGGTGCTCCCCCAGCCATGCAGAGCATGCACAGCCCTTCTGTCCCTGCCTGAAAAAGCAGCAGTAGCCAARCTTCTCAAAATACCCCTCAACAATTTCTCTGCTAAAGGCAGATGTTCTGCTGTCCAGCTGCAGGTGCCAGCTGGGCAGGGACTTTGTTTGGCCCGCGTGTCCCCCTACTCCGTGGGGCAGCAGTGTGCCCCAAAGCGATGTTATGGCACTCACTGAGGAGGGCTCCTCCATAGAGCCGGATGGGAGTCTTGCTGCTCACCGATTCCTCCTCAAAGATGGCATCGAACAGCTGGTCAGGGAAAGCGAGGGCCTGGCAGAGGCAAGAGAGAAACTCAGCAGCCTGCACTGGCCGGGGCCACTAAAACACGTCCTCTTGGGCAGCAGCATTCCAACATCATGCCTCTGTGGGATTGGAGCCACTGGCCAGGAAATTGGAAATTAAGGAGGCACAAGAAATATCAGCAAGTCAGCTATTGGCTGYGTGGACAGTTTCTGTGGCCAAGGCTGCCATGCCTTGCCCTGCTAAAGAAAACAGACTCTGGTGATGGGAACAAAGCACCAAGGACACTGCTGGCAAAGCCCATTACTGAGACACAGGGAGAGCAAAGGCCYTGCTGGAGAAAGTGGCAGGAGCTGYTGGAGGCAGAKGGGGGAGATAAATGGCAGGGACCGACGGGCCATGCTGGGGCACCCTTTGGCACTCGGGAGCTGGTGCTACCCAGGAACACATCCCTCACTCACCATGATGGCGACCCCGGAAAACATGACGGCGGAAACCAGCTGCCAGACCCTGCATGAGAGGAAGACAGAACCCAGCATGAGCTCCAAGTGACTCCATCACTCATACTTCACAAAGCATTTCTGGCTGCCTGCTCATTCATCAGCCTTCATCCTTCCCCAAGCATAGCCAAGGCAGCCAGAAACCTCCCATGGAAGGATTCAGCTTTCCAGATCTGGCTAGCTCCAGTCTCAGCATGCAGACCAGCCTTTAGCCTCACCCAAGCTAAAGGAGGGAAGTGACCCTGCCAAGAGGATGGTGCAGAGCAGAGTTCCCCCCACAGGACACACCACCCTGTCACACAGTAGAACTGGAGTTCTTCCAGCCCACGTAGTTCTCTGCACATGCAATAGGACAAGAAAGTGAGGGCCTCAGGCTGATTTATTGGGAAAGAAAGCAGAGCTGGTCTGGTTCTACAGCCTCCAAGAAGCCCCTACAGGGAACAATGATGCTGGCACAGCAGCAGAGTTGGTGTCAGAAACCAGAGCTGGCATGGATACTGTGGCCAAGGGCCCTCAGATGACCCAGCTCCAAGGTGATCCAATATCTTACCTGAGTCCCAGTGGTTCCCGGACTGCAAACTTGATTTCATTTCCCAGTACTTGGCTAATCTGGAATTCAAATGAAAGGCACAAGCTAAGCAGATCCTTCCCCGGTCTTTAGGCAGGACTCACCACCCCAAAACCATATATCTAACCCCATGTGGGAGTTTATCTCCAAGAGGGCTGGAAGGAGGAGGAGGACAAGAGATTTATCTTTGAGTCCTTAGTCCCAACCCCTGCCTTGATTTCCAGCAGGAGCTGCCACCTCTGCTGCTCCCTTGCTGGCATCAGCCACCTGCAGCATGCAGCTGGGAAAGGGTCAACACTAACTCGCCTCCTCTTACCCACGTAAGAAAGGAACTGACTCCTCACACRCACTGCCTGTATGTCACATTCTGAYRGAGCACAGGCTCCTGCAGMACCCTCAGGGTGTTAGGGTATCTGTCCTGCTCTCGTGTGCACATGCCCAGAGCTGTTCATGTTCATGTGAACATGCTCATGTTAACAATATCAGGCTGTGACTATCCCAAACCACATGGATGGGCAGACCTGGCTTTGCCCAGCAGAAAGTCCCTGTTCCATCCTTACTGCACATGGGCTGCCCTCACCTTTGAGCGATGGACCTCGCCGTCGTCATCCTCCCCGCCGACRCCCAGGATCTTGCGTGTCTTCAGCCTGCTCACCAGGTCGGTCTGGCTGTGCTTCTTCATCAGCGGCGGGGGCTGCTTCGCCGCCATGGCGGTGGCCCTGCCCCACCAAGCCCTTGGCTGTGAGGTGGCGCAAGGACGGTGCAGGAAACGGCTCCGCTGTCACATGAAACGTCACGAGGTTTGGGGAAAATAAAACAACCACCAAACCTTGCTGTTAGGCTGGCAGACAGCTCCTCATCCTTGTGGGGCAGGGAGCCCTGGCAACGAGGCCGGCCCCAGTTACAGGTGGCTCATCTCAGGCTGATCCTGCTGTCACCGGGATCTGCCATGGGGGGAAAGACAGAAATCAGAGCAGAGTGGCTTTAGCATGGACATTTAGTGGTTATAAATGCTTTTGACCTACAAACCATAATCTTGTCTATCCCAGCATGAGGCAATGCCCAATAGTGCCTCTTTGCTGTTTTTCAGATTAGGGGAATTAAATGCGTCTCAGACTAGRGGAATTAAAGTCATTAAGTAATACTCGGCCTTTTTTCTTTTCCCATGCAATTCATCACATTCTTTGGCTGCTGTTTCAGGTCAAAACCCAGACAAATATCAGGTATTTATTTGTGTCCCCCCTCAGATGCTGCAGCCCCCATGTTGTGCCAGAACACATCAGACCCTGAACAACAAGAAGCCACGGGCATGATTTTCCTTGAAAACACATTGCTTTCTGGGAAATTATGGCAATTAGAAACTGCAAATACTCTCTGGGATAAGTAAACACAGGCAACTGAGAGCAGTTCTAATGGAAAAGATAACTTCTGCCCGGGCATCGTGGTATAAAGGTAGATGTGTTGACTTACATGAAATCACTCTGTCTCATCCTGCAGTCATAAAGCCCTGAAACCCTCAGTTCAGAAAGTCTTTTCTTGTAATTTGTCTTCATTCCATCTTGGCTCAGCTGAACACAAACCCTTTTTTTCCATTTGCCACTTCACCCTCCCAGAGACTCACAAAAATTCGCCCCAGGAACAGCTAATCCAGCCCAAGCAAGCATCAGGCTCAAGCACCAGCAACCCCATGCCCCAGCTGAGCCTTCCCAGAGCTGCCCCAGGAGGAGACAATTTATGCTGATCACTAAATATTTCACGAGTCTTCAGGAAATAATAAAATGACGTACAATTATTTTGGCATCATGCATGCAAATGTTGCCCCAGTGCCTTGCAAGGGATTTCCCTCTCAAAGGAAAACCCTTCCCCTCTGGTGGTTCAGAAAAGAATGGCCAGTCCTGCCTGCAAGTGCCCAGCATAACTCTCGTTCTTTAAGGCAAAGTTAAGAGGTCTTGCTGGGATGGTGCAAAAGGTGAACCCCATGATCAAGGCTTTAATAAGATCCTTTCAGCAGATCAGGCAAAAAGCTTTTCACTGAGCCAGTGCTGGGAGGTACTTCTTTTGGATTGTAGTGGGGCTTGTTTGGTAGTGGTTTTTTTCCTCTTATCCCACCAAACAACTAAGCCCAGGTCCCTGGAAAAGCAGCACAAAGCCAGATGCAGCAGTCAGGGTCTAGAAATATTTCAGAAGTAGGACAGTGGAGRACAACTGCTCAGGAAGAAGGTAGAAGCTGTATACTCAGACCTACCCTCGAGCACAAGGCAGGAAGCTCAAATGGTAGCTGACAATAGAAAAGTTTGAAAGATTTATCATGTCTGGGGTTTGCCAACATGAACTGTCACAATAAATTGTGTGTATTCAAATCTAGATAATCTCCACACAGAAACCACCCCAAAGCCAGAATGATGTGTCTAAAAGAAAAGCTCTACCTCTTTAACCAACTACAGTTTTTGCAATTTTTTCTGCTCCTGGCTGACCCAGACTGACAAGGCTGGATGCTGCTGGATCTGGTTTCCCACCAGAACTGCTGAAACCAGAGCAGACATGTTGCTGCGGTATTTCTAGCCCATCATTTTCTSATCAAAGCCATCCATTCCAATCCTGAAGCAACACCCTGTGGCGAATGCTCCTCTCTCTCAGTCCGAGCCTCAGGACCACTCTGAGGCCATCCCACCTCTCTAAAGTGAGGGAAAAGTTTGGCAGAGAGCCTGAGCAGGAGGATCCTACTGGCTCTCCTTGAGAATAAAGACCTGAGGCTTGCTGGTCTTGACAGGACTTGGGATTCTGAGTGTGCTGGCCAGGCCATCCTGSCACTTCTGGATCCTTACTGGTTTCATTCTATGGAGAGCCTGATGCCCACACCTCCTGCTCT